GCCCTTCATACTCTATCTTCTCTACCTGACTCAGCTGAAGCAACTTTAGTTCTTCTCATATGCTTCTTTCACAGTAAGGAGCCTTTGCAGGTCACCATTTAAAGCTTACATGTATGGGTATTTTGCCTGCATGTCTGTGTACCACATGCGCTTGATGTCCAAGGGGGGCCCAGAAGAGGGTGTCAGATCCCCTGGGATTGGAGTTAAGGTTGTAAGCCCATGTGGGTACTGAGACTCAAACTCAAGTCCTTTGGAAGAGCAGCCAGTGCTCTTAAACACCAAGCCATCTCTCCAATCTCCCATTTTATCTTTTGTACTGTGTGTTCGCTGTCCCTGTTCTGTGTTTAAATTTTAAATTTATAGATACTTATGATTATGTTATTGAACCCTGCAATTTTAGTACAGTAGTATGGCTTGGTGTGCAGCCTAAGGACAGTGACACAGACAGGATCACCTAGGTGTGGCAAGCTGCCTCAACTAGGATTGTGATGATCTCACAGGGCTGCAATTACCTAGCCATGTCCTTCTTAGGATGTACTCCATTGTTAATTGGTGTATGACTGCATATTGATCATTAAGGAAATTAGAGCCATCAAGAGGTGTCATCTCATACTTGTTAAAATAGCTGTTATCACAAAGGCAAGACATGGATAAGAACGTGCAGCAAACAGAGCCTTTTCTTACTGTTGTTAAGAGTATGAATTAGTAAAGCCACTATAGAAAACAGTATGGAGGTTCAACAAAAAGCTAAAACTGAACTTGGGTTTTTCAGGACAAGGTCTCTCTATGTAACCTAAGCTGGCAGTAACTCATAATCCTTCTGCCTCAGCCTTCTGAGTGCTTGGGATTATAGGCATGTGCTACCGACAACACTTGACTATAAAATAGACAAACCTTCTATGCATCCAGAAATCCCATTTTTGGATTTATATCTAAGAAATAATGAAACCAATGCATCAGAATTTTTGTATTCCCTGATGTTTACTGTAAACCCACCGCTCCAGCAGGGGTGGTATGGAATTATCTAAGTATCCAGAGGGTGACTAGTAGAATGTGCTCTGTTGCCATGGAATACTGCTCAGTCTTAATAACTGGAAAGTCTTTCGCTTGCAATTGCATAGTCGAACCTGGGGATACTGTGCTAACAGAAATCAACTCAACACAGGAAATCAAATACTGCACCATCTCCTTTGTGTGTAGAATCTGAAAAGGTCAAACTCACAGAAAGCAGAATGAAGGTAGGGCTGAGGGGCTGATTTCAGTTGAGCTGGATGAGATGTGCTGTGAGGTATGCAATCCTGGCCCTCAAGGCAAGGTAGGAGGATTGCCAGTCAGTCAAGCTTGGGCTACATAGCAAGAGCCTGCTCCAAAATAAAACAGAAGGGCTGAGGAGGGGGAATACATTAAAGAGGTGCTGGATAGTTAGGAATAGTGCACTGAGGTAGATTTTAAATGTTCACACACACACACACACACACACACACACACACACACACACACAAGGTGATACATGTGCTAGCATGTTAACTTGTACACAGATATTTCAAAACGTGTTGTATACTGTAAATGTTTATAGCTTAATTTGTCAGCTAAGTAAAAGTAAATGATATTTAAAGGTCAAATGGTTATACTTAAAATAGGCACATTTAAAGTTTTTATTTCATTATGTAAAATATTTTGTTCCATCATAACTGTTGTATACATATATACCAATGGTTTTATGTTTATGAACTTTTGATTTCCTCCTTCCTTGTAAGACGCCTAGGAGCAATAGGCTAGTGTGTGATAGGCCATCCAGGGTGGTGCACATTTATTTTTTACTTCTTCCTCATACCTACTAACTATGGCTTTGGTTCCTTTGATTAAACTGTAGCTTGTTACTTAGCCTTCTGATTCTAAATTTACCTATAAGAAGAAGATTGTGATTTCCAGCCTTCAGATGCTGTTTTGTGGATTAGGATGCAGTTGAAGTTTAGTAAACGATAGTCAATTATAATATCATTGGGTAGATGACTTACTTTAGGTATTGTCTTACAGTATCAATCAGTTTTATGAAAACGGGTAGATGGGTCTTCTATACTTAGTAGCATATTATTTTATATTCCCATTGATTATCTGTTTCTTTGAATTCTAGAAGAGTGGGGCTAAGGCTTAAATACTTGTTTGTGTTTGCATCATTTTGTTTACTTAAAATGATTAATATTGCTATTAGTTTCATCTTTGCCATTTTTTCTATCATAAGCTTTTGTATTTTGTTTTGTTTTGTTTTGTTTTTCCAGACAGGGTTTCTCTGTGGCTTTGCAGGCTGTCCTGGAACTAGCTCTTGTAGACCAGGCTGGTCTCGAACTCACAGAGATCTGCCTGCCTCTGCCTCCTGAGTGCTGGGATTAAAGGAGTGCAACACCACCGCGGCTCCCTAGTGGGATTAAAGGCATTCGCTAGCCACCACACTCAGAGGGATTTCTTACTTTTAATTTTTAAAAACTTTTATGTGTGAAGGAATTTTTTGCATGTATATGTCTGTGCACTGCATTTATGCCTGTTGCCCGTGGAAGCCATGGGATTGGGTTTACAAACAGTTGTGCATGACCAGATGAGTGCTGGAACTCAAACCCCAGTCCTCGAGAAGAGCATCCAGTGCTCTTAACCACAGAGGCAACTTTCCATCCCCAAAATGGCTTTCTTGAAAGGGGTCTATGGTACTAATAGCTACCTTGTCATCTTACACAAGAAACTTCTAGTAAACAAAGAGAAACAGTTTATGAGTCTAATTCAGCACTTAAAAGGAAGAGGCAGGCTGAGCTTCATGAGTATGAGATCAGACCAATCTACATAGTAAGTTCTCAAACAACAACAAATAAAATAAGATGTTCTTGCTAAGTAACTGCTTTTTAGTTCAGACTTACAGTATGGCATATCAAGTGGAAACTACAATGATTTAATCATTTCTGAAACAGCTGATAACTGCTAAAATCATGATTTGTATAAATCATTGAACATTTCATCACAGTCCAAAATTATTAAAGCTACTATATAAAAATAAATACAGCCGCGAATGCCTTTAATCCCACTAGGGAGGCAGAGGCAGGTGGATCTTTGTGAGTTTAAAGCCAATCTGGTCTGTAGAACTAGTTCCAGGACAACCAGGGCAACAAAGAAACCCTGTCTCAATAAACCTTAAAAGAAAGAAAGTTCCTTTGTTTTTGTTTTTTTAAAATATATATATATATAAAATGAAACACACACACATACACACACACACACACACACACACACACACACATATATATATATATAAAGGTTTTTCAAGACAGGGTTTCTCAATGTAATAGTCCTGGCTGTCCTGGAACTCACTCTGGAGACCAGGCTGGCCTTGAACTCAGAGATCCACCTGCCTCTGCCTCCTGAGTGCTGTGAATAAAGGTATATGCCACTACTACCCAGCAGGAGAATTTTTTTTTACATAAATTTGATAGTGCCAATTGGTCTTTAATTTTTTTCTTAAATTTATTTTATATGTGTACTAGTGTCTTGTCTGCATGTATGTATATGCACCATGTACATGTTCGGTGCCTTTGGTAATCAGAGGGCAGTGGACCTGAAGTTACAGATGGTTGTGAGTCACCATGTGGGTGCTGAGAACCCAACCTGGGTCCCCTGTAAGAGCATTCAGTGATGGTAGTCCCCAGCTCCCATATTGGTATTAGAGTTTTACTTCTTCTCCTCATACTTCATTCAAATGTGTGTCCATTGTCATTTGAGGCATTAAGGAAAACTGGAACTTGTGTGTGTACAAACATACATACGTGTGTGTGTGTGTGTGTGTGTGTGTGTGTGTGTGTGTGTGTGTGTGTGTGTTGAGAGACAGGGTTTCACTGTGTAACTCTGGTTGTCCTGGAACTTCCTAAGTAGATGAAGGTGACTGCAAACTCACAGAAATCCACCTGCCTTTGCCTCTTGAGTGCTGGGATTAAAGCTGTACACCCTCATCCTGGCTTGATTTTATTTTTTAAAATACCTTATATATTGACACAAATACATGAAGAATTATTTTTAGTTTGGTGTGTGAGGCCAGGGATCGGAATTTTTCAAATAATAATGATTCATTTGTTACACTTGATAATGCTGCATACATCACCTCACCCATGCCCCTCACACGCTGGGGATCAAACTTAGGGTATTGTGTCTGTAGTAAGCATTCTGTCACTGAATGATGTGGCAGCCCATGTATTGGAATTTTGACACACTTATTTTGGACAATAATGCACAATGAATAAATAACAAAGGTTTTAAAATGTTTTTGATATTTCTTTTTAATTACTTATGACATTTTTAGTAAAAGGAAAAAAAAAAAAAAACTTGCTCTGTAGCAATTGTATACTTGGGCAGCCAGGGTTTCTAGTATAAGAAGTCATTGGGCAAATAAGCAGAAATAACATAATTAACATTATCAGAAATCAGACACACAGGAAAATCAAGGAGGATCTCTTTTGAGTTCGAGGCCTGTCTGGTCTACATAGTGAGTTCCAGGACAACCAGGGTTATGTAGAAACCCTGTCTTAAAAAACCTAAAAAAGAAAAAATAAAATAAAAAAGAAGAAATCAGACATTTGGGGAAAGTAGAAGTATTCCATCAGTATCTGCAGAAAAGTAAGTGATGCTTTGCTTTTAGAGACCCAGTTTTATTCAGTCCAGGATTGAAGGCAGTTTTTTATTTGTGATTTGACTAGGTTGAGTTAAGAGGGTGGTTTTGCAGTGTAGACATTGGAAAACATATGAGGACACTTAAACAGTTGATTACGGAGCAGCCATTTAACTTGTGTTTGTTTGACATCTATAAAATGCCATCTGTGGTATATTCATTTTAGAAAGTTTTGAGAAATGGCTAAGAAATGATGAGTATTAAGCCCTGAAATATGCAGTAAAGGCATTGTTTACTGCATTTAATTTTTTATCGAATTGATGTGAACAAATTCTCAGACATCTTTTACTTGTTGCAGTGTTTGATGATGGCGATGAGAGAACTCTGAGGCGCACCTCGCTTTGCCTGAAAGGGGAGAGACATTTTGCCGAGAGTGAGGTAAGGCAGTAGGGGTTGAGTTGTGAACTACAATGACTGATTGGGAAGTGAAGTGTGAATTGAATTCATTTGTCTTCTCTTCTGCAGACGCTTGACCAGCTTCCTCTAACAAACCCAGAGCATTTTGGAACACCAGTCATTGCAAAGAAGACAAACAGAGGGAGGAGGTCGTCACTTCCTATGTGAGTTTTTCATATTTGGTTAATGAATCTATAGATGGCGTTAAAGCCTTCCACAGTTGACTTTCCCAGAATGGCTACGTTCTGTTGGGTAACATCTCCATAGCATATTGTAAGGAGCACATTTCACCCTCAGTAGACTTGGTTCTTAATTACTCCCTTTACATTGCCCAGGCGTTATCAAAACTCCATTTTCCAAAAGACTGTTTCAATTTGCTTTGACAACATCATTATTTGGTATGATTTTCTTCTTCTAAGTAATTATTTGTATTTTTTATCTTTTCATTTAAGAACAATTTTGAACATAAAAATAATAATATGAAGAGTTTCCACGTATTCTTTGTCTAGGTTACCCAATTTAATATTTCTGGCCTGTTGCCTTATCTTTCCATTTCTTTGCTATAAATATTGTAACTAGTTTTCAGTTTTATGAATTTTTGTGGCCATGGCTGTTCTGACACTCACTCTGTAGACCAAGCTGGCCTTGAACTGACAGAGATCCTCCTGCCTCTGCCTCCTGAGTGCTGGGTTAAAGGTGTACACACCACTGCCCAGCCAGTATTAGAATTTTATTTTACTGAGTGTTGTGAAAGGAAGCAGAGAACATAGCAATCCTTAGCCTTTAAGTGAAATAATAATATTATAATCAGAAAATTCTATTTCATGTGTGTAAAATGTGTAGCCCACAGCCAAACTCAGGATTATCTTGCCTCGTGGTCTGAAGTGCTGGCTTACAAAGTTTACATTGTGGGAACAAACCTCTTACCTCCTGCTGTCAGCATTTCCAGGTCCATCTGTTGTCTTAGGTGACCTCAGTGCATCTTTTAGTGTTCATTTGCTGCATTTGGTCTGTGAGTGCCTTTTAATCTGATAACGTTTGTTAGCCTTTTGTTTGGTTGCTTTTCATGATACTGTCATTTAAGAGTACAAGCAGTTGTTTTGTAGACTGCTCTTCAGTGCAGATTTTTGAGGTGTTTTTTATTGATTGATTAAGATTGTACATTTTTGCCAGTGATAAATGTCCTTCTCAGTGTAAGTACGTCATAGATACATACTATCAGTTTGTCCCATAACTGGTGACATTACCTCTGATCACCTAGTTAATGTGGTTCCTGCCTAATTTCTGAACTTAGTGTTCTCTTGGCTACCTTTCCTCTTTGGATAATTAAATAACCTATGTGGAGTTACTTTGCTGGTAGATATGCTGTTCTTTCAAACTATCATCCTTCAGTGGTTTGATCACTGAGGTTCCTTTGGCATATCAGGACTGTTAAGATGGCAGTATGGTGATCTTGTAATTTTTTTTGTTCCTGCTTCATCTTTTAGTTAAATTTAGTTATCATTTTCCTGGGCCAGCAGGGTGGCTCAGGGTAAAGGTGCTTGTTACCAAACCCGTGAGTTTGATCCTTGAATCTCACATGATTGAAGAAGAGAACCAACTCATGCAAGTTGTCCTTTGACCTCAGTTTGTGTGCTATGGTACGTGTGCGCACACACACACATACACACTGAGTGATTGAATGTAAAAATAAAATTTTTTAAAGAAAATCTTCCTTATCATCAGTATATATTCATGTATGATAATTTTACTTAATGGGTTATTATTCACTGTTTAAGAAACTTTATTTTGATGCTTAAGTAATTGCAGATTCAACCAGTGGGTACCTCTCCAGGCTGGGTTCTATATCTTTTACATACATTTCTCCGTTTCTTGATTACATGGCCACTTCCTGGCACTGCAGTGTCATGAGTTCATGATCTTTTTTTGTTTTGTTTTGTTTTCAGCATCAAACCTTGATATAGGCCATTTCTCCAGGGACCTTTGTTCCTTTGATGGGAAATAAATAGAAACCAAGATCCAGACATTGGATACATTACTGCTGGAACTGTATATAACAAACATATAAAAAAGGCGAAATCAAACATTCACTTGGCAAACAAAAAGTAGCAAAAGACTTTTGAGGCCAGGCCCCTAAATGGAAATCTCAGTTCAGCCTCTAAGTAGTTGTGTCTATTACAGTAACTATGTTTACATTATTTAATTCTCTTCCTCACCTACACAAACGAATCCTACAAGATCCTATTGCTAGTTTACAGCTGAGGACAATGGGATTGGTAATGCCTTGCTAGTTTGGGAGAGGATTGTGTAGTGTTATATGTGTTTTTTAGTGTGTAGCAAGTGCTCAGTGTATTTACTTAATAAATCATTAATGCTCTGTGGTATTTTCATTCCCAAGATAGTACTGTAGTCTTTAATAATTATAATTTTTAATAACTGGAGTAAGCTGATATTTTAGTGCAGGACACTCAAAGCAAGTAGAGATGTTATAAGGAGAATTAGTCGCTGCAGAAAGTAAAGAAAGACAGCCAGGCATTAGTGGCACACACCTTTAGTCCCAGCACTCAGGAGGCAGAGGCAGGTGGATCTCTGTGAGTTCGAGACCAGACCAGCCTGGTCTACAAGAGCTAGTTCCAGGACAGCCTCCAAAGCCACAGAGAAACACCCCCCCCACCCCCCCAAAAAAAGGAAACTAAAGAAAGACATGGTGATTTCTAGGTAACGGATCCGTGAGAGGAGAAGACATGAAAATACAAAAAGTTAAGGGACCAACTGCATCCAGATCTTTTAATAGTTAAGATCACTGTATACCATAGTGAACAACAGATGTTAAAGTATGTTCATCAAGATTTTAAATGAGAGTGTGTACTCATTTTTATTTAAAAGTATAGACTTACAATTAATGCATATTATGAACACTTAAGAGTAAATTGTTATCCCAGTTAAATTATCTGAATAAATCCCACATAGCCTTTTCTGGGCTATTTTTATAACCCACTTGAAATTTAAACTTATTTGGCCTCTGGCATTAAAATACAGAAAGGTAATCTGCTTTAAAAAATACATTTGGTAAGCAAAGAGTTGGTGGTCTACACCTTTAACCCCAGCACTCAGGAGACAGAGGTAGTTGGATCTCTGAGTTCAAGGCCAGCCTGATCTACAGAGCAAGTTCTAGGATAACCAGGCTACACAGAGAAACCTTGTCTCAAAACAAACAAATAAAAAAACCCAAAATAGTACATTGGTGACAGGCATCTCTGTCCTGTCATCAGAACCCAAGTCCAGGTATTCACTGAGCCAGAGCCAAGCTGAACATGTAGTGGTCCTAGCACTCTGATTGTACCCAGTTATAGTTTATGTTAGCATAATGAACCTGAACCGCTTGTTCTGACTCTTAGCACTGAAGATGAAAAGGAGGAGGAAAGCAGTGAGGAGGAAGATGAAGATAAACGGCGTCTCAGTGATGGATTGTTAGGAAAGGTTGTACGTGTGACCTCTACAGTGGAGAGGATGGAATGGTACCCTGCTTTGGTAAGTGAGCTGTCATTGCAAAGTCAGTCAGTTGTATTCTTAGTGAAGGTGGATTTGAAAAACTTATTTTAAATATATTGGAAATATTACACATTTAATGAAGGTTTTATTATGTGTTTAAGATTAAAATTCAGGTCTACAGAACTGGCCATTGTCTTTAATTTTCCATTTCTGTTGTCATTTATTGACATCTTTAAAGTTATTTTTTCTTCTGATGTGTTCTTCATTTGTCCTGTTACCCTTTTACATCTTCAGTGTTTTAGATTGATCTCCTAATTCTTTTTATTGTTATTTTGTTTGTTTCACTCTGTAGTTTAAGCTGGCTAGGAACTTGCTATATAGCAAAGGCTGGCCTCACATTCATAGCAATCCTCCTATTCCAGTATCTTGAGCCGTAGGGTCCTGGTGTGAGCCACTATATTTAGTATCCAAATAAGTGATAACCTCACAATAATTCCATTCTCCACAATTTTTAGTCAGATGTGATATTGCATGGTTGTAATCCCAGATTCTCAGGGTCTGAAATAGAAAGTTTACTTCAACCTAGGAGGTGGAGGCTAGCTTGGTATACCATAGAGCTTGCTGTCCTGGCAGTGGTGGTGTGTGCCTTTAATCCCCGCACTCAGGAGGCAGAGGCAGGCGGATCTCTGTGAATTCAAGGCCAGCCTGGTCTACAGAGTGAGTGCCAGGACAGCCAGGTCTACACAGAGATACCCTGTCTCAAATTAGAAATAAATAAGTAAATAAACAAATAAATAATTTGTGTAATAATTTCTAGTACTAGCACATAAACTAGAATAAGGACATAATAGAAAGGAAAGATGCACTTAGATTCTTTAAGTCTTAGAAGTGACAATTTTGCATACACAGAATGAGGACAGATGAACAACAGAGGATATTTTATGAGAGGAAAAGACTGCTTAGTGGTATTTATCTCACTGAGAATCTTCTTTGACTATTAGATGAGAGTGGGCTGGGGGGAGAATAGAATGCAATTGCAAATATAACTTAATACTTGAGACAGAAGGGTCTTCAAATAGCCATCTGAATATTAGGAGATAATTCTGCAGATAGTGTTGAAAAAGAATGCTATTTGCACTGCATGGTTGGGAATGTTCGTAAGACAGTCTGCTGTCTTGTTAGACTGGAAGTTATAAGAATCAATATGGAGGCCATTAGTTTACAGGTGATGTAATGAGGCTTAGAGTTGTCTTTATTCATCCTTCAAGACTTTGCTGCTACACCTGTTCTGGCTTGCTGGGGTCAACTCTTTACCCTTTAGTATTGTCCTGTGGCTGGGGTACCACTGTACCATCCTCCCATTGTGTGTGTGGCGGGTGTGTGTGTGTGTGTGTGTGTGTGTGTGTGTGTGTGTGTCTTAGCTTTGCCCCTCCATCACACTGTTGGCTCTTGAGGATAAGCACAGCTACTCTACTAGTCTGATAGTTTACCTAGCTCCCTCTGGGCATGTATTTCTATCTGGTGTTGGGTGTGACCATGCCTGTAATCCTAACACTTGTGAGGAATATCGTAACTTCAGAGTAATCCGAAATTACATAGCAGGTTCTGGGACAGGCTGGTCCACATGAGACCCTGTGCCAAAAATCAAAGAGTGATACATAAGAATATTTAAAACAGCCCAATGAAGCTGGGTGGTGGTGGCGGTGTATGCCTTTAGCCCCAGCACTTGGGAAGTAGAGGCAGGCAGATCTCTGTGAGTTCAAGACCAACCTGGTTTAAAAGAGCTTGTTCCAAGACAGTCTCCAAAGCTACATAGGGAAACCCTGTCTTGAAAAACCAAAACCAAAACCAAAACCAAAACCAAAACCCCAGCCCAGTGTGGTGGCGCATGCCTTTAATGTGAGCACTTTGAAGGCAGAGGTGGGCAATTCTCTGAGTTCCAGGTTGCGTGGTCAGACCAGCCTGGTCAGACCAGCCTGGTCTACATAATGAGGCTTTGTCTCAAAAATAAATAAATACAAAACATCAAAAAATAAAACAAAAAAGAATATTTAAAAACCTGGCTCTATAGTGTTGAATATGATAGTCATAAAGTATGTTATTATTTAAGGTTAAATGTAAGTTATTTATAAAAAAGAATAGGGAGCCAGAGTGTAGCTATGAGATAGAGCTTTTAATGTCCCAGGCCGTGGGCTTGATTGAGAGGCTAGTGTTAAGGGGATCATGGGTGAGCATGTCTCAGCAGCTCCAGGAGTACGCTACCCACTCAGCTTGAGGCTTGAAAGTATGAAGCTCTCATATAGTGTACAGAAATTATTTAGTAATGACATTGCTAAGGCATTTTTTACTTTCAAAGGCTAGACTAAAAAGCTCTTTGTTTGGCCCTTTTTAATGACGAGTTGTAAACTGTTCATGCCCTGATAAAAAAAGATTTTCGTGGTTTCTAATAGCCGGATTTTAAAACAGATGCATATTCAGGTATATTTTTTCAAATGAGCGGCTAGAGAGATGCTTCAGTGAGTAAGAGCACATGCTGCTCTTGCTGCGAGGATCGAAGTGCAGAATACTACATGGTAAGGTCCCCAGCACTCACAGACATCTGACACCTCTGGTCTCTCAGAGTGCATGCATGTGCACACACAATTAAAAAAAATAATAAAATAATAATAATAATAAAAACCTAGTGGCACATAGCTTTAATTCCAGCACTCGGGAGACGGAGACAGGCAAATCTCTGTGTGTGTGACCTTGAGGCCAGACTGTTCTACATAATAGTTTCCAGGCTAGCCAAAGCTACATGGTGAGACCCTGTTGTAAAAGAAACAAAAATCCTCACCACTACTACTAATTAAATAAAAGCCAAATTGTAATGTGCCAGATTTCTATCACGGGTTTCTCATTGATGCCAGCCGTGCTGCCTTGCACCTGCAGTCTGGTCCCTCGGTAAAGAGGGAGGAGGGTACAGGGTCAGTCATCCTTGTCTAGATGGTAAATTTGAGCCAGCCTGAGCTACAGGAGTCCCTATCTGAAAAATAGAGAACAGATCATGCATCCATAAATGTTACTGCTTTGGATACAAAGTAAAGTCTTGGGCCTGCAAGACCCTTCCGTGGGTAACTATTGGTGCTCAGGTCAAGCCTGCAGCCTGATCCTGATTCCCATGACCCACGTGGGGAAGGAAAGTACTATGACAAGTACTGAACCTCTTACAGAACATGTGTGCCCTCCCACACAAATAGATGTAATAAAAATGTTTATTTAGGTTAGAGCCTTGAAAGCAATAGTATTTTATTTATATTTCAATGTTTATTTTATATTACCTAATGACTATGTTAAATATCTAGAAAACCAATGTTAAAAATAATGAAATCTTTTGTAATTTATTAATGATGAGAGCTACTAGCAATTGAGCTGTTTCTTTTTTCTTTCTTTTTTTTTTTTTTTCTCAAGACAGGGTTTCTCTGTCAGGCTTTGGAGGCTGTCCTGGAACTAGCTCTTGTAGGCCAGGCTGGTCTGGAACTCACGGAGATCCTCCTGCCTCTGCCTTCCGAGTGCTGGGACTAAAGATGCGTGCCACCACTGCCTGACAACAACTGAGCTATTTCTTGAAAAGTATAATGCATTTGAGACATTGGCAGATCCAGAATTTTTTTTTAATTTTTAAATTCGATATCTTTGTATATGGGTGCTGGGAACAGAACCTGGGTCATCGGGGTTCACTCGGCTGCTGAGCTGTCTCTCCAGTTCCCCGGGTGATTTTTAAAATTACGCTCGTGAGCCTGGTGAAATGGTTCAGTAGGTACAGATGCTTGCAAGTTGTACTTTAACTACAAGTGCCATGGTGTGCTTGAACTCTCCCTACCTTGCACACAAACGAATAAGCATAATAAAAAGGCTAAACATGTTCTTGGTTAGGGCTGTAACTCAGTAGTTGAGTGCTTCCCTAACATACAAAAGGCGGGGTTTAATTGCTTAGAATAATTGCTTAGAGTCAGTAGATTCTGAATTTGTATTCCAGGTCATCTCTCCCAGCTGCAATGACGATGTCACAGTGAAAAAGGATCAGTGTTTAGTTCGATCATTTATTGATTCTAAATTGTGAGTAATGAAACACCCAGTAATGCTTCATGGGGATGGGACACAGTGATACCCACATAAAAGCGAGTCACTAACGTGGAGTTGAGAAGTTGTTACCTACTGTGTTTTAAGTTTTTATGTAGGGTGCTTTTAGCTGGTAAATTCTATATAAAAGTTCAATAATAAGTGAGAATAGTTTTAAAAACATTTGTTTGTAAATAAACTGCATATAGTTTTTTAATTGAAAAATTCTAGATTTTTATCTTGTGTTATTTCATATTATGAATTATGAAACTTCTTAATAGACTTATTAGTAGAATAATTACTTTGACCTTTGTTTTTTTAAAAAAAAAGACTTTTAGAAACTTTCCCTTAATTTCCTGTTTTTCTTCAGAGAGAACAGTAAAATTAAGTGTTATTTTGTTATTTTCTGTGAAAAATAAATCATAAATACATGATAGTCAAAAATACTTTAACAAGTTAACAAAACTTAGGAAATATTGAACAAAATAGGTGTTATCTATAAGTACTGAAATGACTGCTCACAGAAATTCTATTGTCCATAGGAAGGTTGTATACTTGCAACACTGTGAATTTGAGGCTCTCAAATAAGAGTACTTTGAGTACATGGAACTTAAAAAATACTAGCTTTGTCTGTTTTACCTCCAGTGCTTTATTAAGGATCGCAATATTCATTACCTACAACTTTTAAAACACTATAGGAAAAAATAACTTTGATTTTTGAAGTCTTATGTATGTGTTAATGGGGACTGTTTAAATGATATTTTTTTTTTATTTAATAAGTAGTTCTCCCCATTTTGTTCTTTTTCACAGTTACTCTATAGCAAGAAAGGACATTCAGGAACTAGACATTCTCAATCTACCAGAATCTGAGCTCTGTGCTAAGCCAGGTAAAAAACAGCTGAGTCCATATATTATTTCATGATGGGATGGTGTAGGGAGAATAACCAATGAAACAATACTGACTATTCTCTGTTGCCATATTAACTGTTTGGAATCCTGTCTCCAGCCTGTGGTCTATGGGCTTCATGTGGCCCAGTACAAAATCATTAACTTAAGACGTAATGAGTCGTTTTGCCTTTCCTTTCTTTCTATCGTTGCCCTGTTGCATGTTCCTGAGTATCAACCTCACAGATAATGTGTTGGACACACTATTACTTAATGTCATTTTTACATTTTGTCATTTAAATTTTACAAATTTACCTTGTCATTAATATTTCTTCTCTCTCTTTTGTTGGGGGGGGGTGGAGCGTGGTTTGGAGTCAGCATTTTTCTGTGTAGCCTTGGCTTTCTTAGAACTCATTCTGTAGACCAGGCTGGTCTTGAATTCACAGAGAGCTGCCTGCCTCTGCTTCCCAAGTGCTGGGATTAAAGGTCTGTGCCACCACTGCCTGGCACTATTTCTTCTTTTTGAGGGGTACAAAAAGGGTGTCTTTCTACATAGCTCTGGTTGTCTTCCAACTCATTATCAGACCAGTGGCCTTGAACTCAAAGAGATCAGATCCACCTGCCTTTGCCTCCTGAGGGCTGGGATTAAAGTCATGCACTTCCACAGCTGCTGACCATTAATATCTAGTAGTGGGGTGGGAGAGATAGCTCAGTGGTTAAGAGCACTTTACTCTTGCAGAAGACCCAAGTTTGGTTCCCAGCAACCGCATGGCAGTTCACAACTATCTGTAATCAGTTCCAGGTGATTTAATGCCACTGGTGGACTCAAGTATAAACATAAATGTATACACATAGAACATTCATGAACAGCTGGGTGGTAGTGGCACAGGCCTTTGATCCCAGCACTCAGGAGGCAGAGGCAAGAGGATCTCAGTGATTTGGAGGCCAGCCTGGTCTATAAAGTAAGTTCCAGGACAGCCAGGTTACACAGAGAAACCCTGTCTCGAAACAACAACAAAAAACAAACACTCATGCACATAAAATAAATATATATCTTTTCTAGACATGGTTTCACTTGCGAAGTGGAGGCATGAGGATGGCAAGTTCAAGGCTAGATTGGGCTACATAGTGACATAGTGAAACCTTGCCACACAACAGTAAATAAACTTTGCTATAAAATCTACATGATCTCCTAACTCATGAAACCTTCAGATTTCCTGTTTCATTTTATGAATAATGGCTGGATTGGGACTGAGCTTTCTGACCTGAATGCCGTGCATCTCTCTTAATTCATGCTATTCATTCTGTGCCAGTAGCTAAAGTCTATGTTTCCTTTCAGGGCTGCGGAGAGCAAGTGTCTTCTTAAAAGCTAGGGTCGTTCCTGATAATTGGAAAATGGATATAAGTGAAATCCTTGAGTCATCCAGCAGCGATGACGAAGACTGCCCAGCTGAGGAAAATGAAGAGGAGAAGGAAAAGGAGGCCAAGAAGGAAGAAGAAGAACCAGTAGGTTCAATTCCATGCAACATGGAACATATATGTATATATATACCTCCATATGTTTGTTCTCTGTCTAGATTCTCTATTGTTTGTTTTTGTTGGGAACATTTCTTAGCAAGATTTGGTTGAGGAGTTGTGGCTCTTTGGCTCATAGTGCAGCGTATAAATCAGGACCAGCTTTCAGTGTGAAGTTACCAAAAAGTTCTTTTCGGGTACAATCAAGATTGGGGGTGGAAGATGAGGTATTTCTGTGTGTTCCCTAACTGTTAGTGTGCAAAGTAATCATCTCCCTGCTTTCAGGGTGCTGTGAGAGTCAGAAAGTTACTGTTCTCAGCTAGCACGGCTAAACTGTGGAGCTGAGAGATTTGAACCCAGGTCTTGTTTCTCCTAAATTGGAAACATTCTAGGGGGTATATATCTTAATTATACCCAAAGAAAAATTCATCTGGCATCTTGACAAGTCATAGAAAAGATTAGATTGTATTTTTATCATGAGTGGTTTTCTTTACAGCATTGCTGTGGTGTTCACAGTGTGATGGAGTTACCATGGTTGCTCACAGGGTGTTTGTCTGTTTATTCACCAGTGTTTTGTTAAATGGGATAAATTTTCTAGTGTAATTTTGGTTGTTGAGAGGCAAAACAAAGAGGATGAGTTTATTGAAAAAGAAGACCTTTCTGAGCATGAAAAAATCTGCTCTGAAAATGTGGGCTGCTTTTGTTTGTTTAAATGCACAAATGTGAGCCTTTGGAACGCCATGACTAGATTGTGTGTGAGGAAGAGTGCATGCTAGTTCTTTCCTTTGACTTCCCCTGCAGCATTTGGCTTTTACACTCTGAAATCAGAATGGCGGTTCATACTTCCAGGCTGCCTACAGAGTTGCCATAGTAACGTGCTGTTGGTTTTAAGTGAGCATGCTCAGAAAGACAGGAAGGTTTAGCAGAGGCTTGGCAGGTTGCCAATGGAGGTTTGCCAGCCGCTTTGAAATGGGCTGTCTTTCTTTTCCTTTCATGTAATGTCTGATTTTTATGTGGAAGAGAATGTAAGTAGTGCTGTATAACCCTGCGGATGCTGTGCCCTAAGAGGGACAGCAGATATTTGCCAATCAGACTGGCATGTCCAGACTCTGCACTGACTAAGTAGAAGGGGAAGCTAACCATTTTGCATTTGAAAGGAAATGCAGCACATAGGTAAGATTTTTTTTTTAAAAAAAATTTAGTTATTGTTTTGATTGCCAAAAATGGGATTAGATAAAAATTTGAGGTGTTGATTATATGGCTGATATGTTAGAGCTTATAACCAATCGTAATTGTTTCTTGTAAAAAAGACAGTAGGAATCTATTTTTAGAGGATTAGAGGGTAAAGGGTATTTTTCTCAAATATGAGATAGCTTTAGGAATGACAATGATGAGACAGTTTGGTAAAATTCAGGATTTAAAAATTGAATATTAGATGTGATATCTGTATTTTTATCTGTATTTAGTTTTAGACTGTGTGTTTCAGGGTAAATAGGCCACATTTTCAGGGTGTGAACTGTTAACAGTCTGTGATTTAGCTTCTGGATTTTTATTTAACATCAATTAGGACCTTATTTTGCCAAATACTGAAAAAGGGCTAGTCCCCTTATTTTTGTTAATACTTTTAATTAGTGTCCCTTCTAGAATGAATTTTACCTGCCCCCCCAAAATACAAAAAAAAAAAACAAAAAAACCCTGAAATTTTAAACAAAGAGGCTAGAAAGAGCTTTGTAAGTAGTTACAGAGGGTGCCTATAAAATAGTAAATAGTGCTCATGTTATAGTAATTAATTTTATAATATTGTAACATTTTATTCAAGCTGTGAATGATAAATGTCAGTAAAAATAAATGGAATAGAGGTTATTATTTGCAGGTAATAGTAAAGAAAAATTAAAAGATAAAGACACTTAGAAAAATAGTATCTTTTTACAGTATGTTACTTATGAACTTGCTAAAATTTAGTGAGCATGGGTTGCTTTATTCCTACTAAAAAATAACAGCAAAAATCACAAAATGTAGGCATGGTCTATACAGTTTATTTTAAATTATTTTCTACATGCTCATTTTCATAATTGATGCATACTTGTTATGAACTAGCTCTCTGGCTACCTTAGTGGGTTTTCTTGAGTGAGATTTAGTTGTGTGAAGAAAAAAAAAATCAGCTGCATTTTCTTTGCTCTTGGATTTGAGATTTTATTGCTGAATCATTCTAACTTGTTTTGAAGAATAATTTTAAAGCATTTAATATGCTGATCAATGAGGAAATGCTTTAAACTATACACAGCAAAGGGAGAAACATGAGTATGGTACATAGTGAATAATCTGCTAAGCCAGGGCCTACCTGGCTTAGTCATTATGGGCCTTTCCCACACCAGTGAGGCCAAGCTGTGGTATTACATTACAGATCATAATTCTCCCTAAGATGTATTGATAATGTATGTCTTAGGAAGACTGAATGTTGCTTTACAAGGGTGTAAAGATCCTTTGTAACATTCTGTAAGCTGTTAACCAGCACTGTATATTGTCACCCAGTGCAGGCTAGCAAGCAAGCGTATGCAGCAGAATCATACAAGTGTTAGCTGTTTCTGCAGTGCGAATGAGCAGTGGCCTCTGTTTATCCATCATGCTTTGAGTATTTAGACATAAGTGGGAGCAGGAAGATTTGCGATTGTACAGATTTATCATGGAGAAGTAGCTTTTTTAGTTAATATTTGATTTCCTCCTCATATGCTACTTTAGGATTTGAGTGTAAGCAGTATGTCTCATACCGTGTCTGGAAAGAGGATCTGACAGAGTAGTTCCTGTCTGTATTGTTAATGGCGACACATAGATCATTAGGCTGGAAAAAGCCTAGAGATTATTTTTGTGGATGTTATTTAAATGTCTTTGTTAAGAAAATTCTTTTAAGAAAGTTTATATTAAGAAAGACATTACTAAATTTTTTTTGAGCTTGGGAATTTATTGGAAAGTCCAGATGAATATAAATAATGATAGCAGTTATTCATTTCTCTTGACTTGTGATTATATTGGATAAATACAGGGGAGTTTTCTAAGGGTGAAAAGTTACAAGATTAATTAACAAGAGAAATTTAACTAGTTTTAGCTTAAAACCATGGTGGCTTTATAAGTTGGCTTTGTGTATCAGATTTTGTGTTTAGCAATGAAAATTAAAATTAGTGAAGTTTTTATACAAACTGTTCTTTTTAGTCTAAGGTATAGATACACTCATTTTTCCAATCTTGAGAATTTCCTGGGGATTATCATTACATTTGCTACCCAAGATCATTTTCCATTATTGTAAAAGTCATAAGTGCTTGAGTTTTTTAATTCCTGGAAATATGAATATTTTTTTTGGTATTTAAATCAAATGTCACCTGTGTTGATCTATGACCATGTAAATTAAAGGCATTTGTTGATGATTGTTCAAAATCACTTAGGAAAGCTGTCAGTAAAAGCTAAATGTTTTTAAATGTAATATAAATATTATAGCTATATCAAATAACTCCAATAAAACTAACTTTAAGTAGATTGAAACACCAGCTTTCAATGAACAACTTAGATACTCGATAGCATTCAAATATAACAACTTGCTTAAATTTAGACTACTAAACAAGCAAATAAAAATGTCCTAACTGTGGGATGGAGAGATGGCTCAGGGGTCAAGAGCACAGCTGATCAGGCAAAAGACCTCAATTTGGTACTTAGCACCTAAATTGCAGTTTACAGCCATCTGTAACTCCAGCGCCAGGAGATCCAGTGCCATCTTCTGGCCCCCTTGGGTACTGCATACGTGTGATACACTTGCATACCTGCAGGCAAAATAGGCATACACATTTAAAAAAAGAATCTTTTTAAAAAAGTCCTAATGAGTTCTGAAGAATCTTCATTGTTGTAGCTTAAAACTTGAACCACACTGAATTTACCTAATGAAACCAATGAGGTTTAGACATTTGTTCACATAAATACAGCTACATTTTCAAAATAATTACTTCTGTACGGGCGTTCTATCTGCGTGTCTATACACTACTTTCATGCCAGTGCCTGTGGAGGCCAGAAGAGGGTGTCAGACTCCCTGGAACTAAAGTTAACAGATGGATCAAGGACCTCTGGAAGAGCAGCCAATGCTCTTTGCTCTTCACAGTGGAGCCATTTCTCCAGCCCTCTAATTCAGTTACATTTTTTTTTGTGTTTTAAAACACTTTATTCCACAGTACTTTATATCTGTGGTCATATAAGAGGTTTGAGTGATTTATGAAAATCTTGATGATGGCAGCAGTATCGAATCTTGATGCTCACCTCCATTTAAATGGAAAATAAGCTACTCGGTTTAGTTAACTGTGGTGATTTAAGAGTCACATAATTATTGTAAGGAGGATATTGTCAGGTTGTAAATCAGTCTCTTACTGTAACTATGTCATATCCTTTGGGCTCCCGGAAGTACTCCACATGTAATAACAGTAAAGGGTGGTATGCCTGTAAAGTTTAGGATCAGGTGTTATTGAGTCTCCAGCTATTATTTGTCAGTTCAGTGTTTGTAACCAAGTCATCTTTGAACATCACCTTGTCTCCACTCCGGTTTTGGAAAGAAACCCCTGAGCTTCAAATGGGAACTAACTTTAAGCCCAATAAACTTCATGAGAGTAGCTACAGACCCTACAACGCGCCTCCTGCTCAGGCACAGTCGACAGTGTGTCATCCCCTGAGAACCAGGGCCCCGGGATCTGGATCAGGGAGTCCTGGCTTGTAGGTTTCTTTTCCTGCTTGGACCCATTCCATTCTGTTTGCACCCCACCCCATGCAGGGCCCAGCATCGCCTGCTCTCTGGCCAGGCTGCTCAGTTACAGGCACTGTCCTTGCCTTCTCATTCTCTCCTGTGCCATGTCTTGTCCTGTCATCACGACCAGAACAACTTTGCTGACAGTCACCAGAGACCTTCAGCCAAGCAAAAGTGTGTCTTATCTCGTCTTACTCTTTAGTAGCATTCAGATGTC